ACCAGGGATCATACACATCTATTTATTGGTTTCCACAGTTTTCCAGAGTCATCCAGAGTTCCATTCTTTTCATAAATGCCGTGCTTCAGGGATGGAGTATATATACCAACAGTCAGAAATTACAAAGTATGCACAGATGACGAGGATTCTCTACAAAATGTTTTCGTCCTTCTTGCTCTTCAACAGGAAAGGTCTCATGGTCTGGGCTTCTTAAGGGGTAAATCATCAGGTTTCACTCTGACTATTCTGCAATGGTGTCTTATGTTTCTCTTAAAGGGGGCATATGGTCTAGGGCTCCTTATATTCGAATTTTGAACCTCCTTTCTCGGGAGTAGACTTATCACCCTTCTAGCTTGCCACGGGTGATGTCTGTGGTAGCAGATCCTTTGTCCCAATACAAACAGATTCTCCCAACAGAATAGATATTGCATAGTGAAGTTCAGTTGGATTACCTCTCATTTTGCAACTCTAATTAGTGGGTTGGCCTCTCATTGGATCACCCAACTACTGGCAATTTGGCCTCCGGTACCTCATCTTTGGGACTTGCCAATAGATGCTTTCCATCTGGACAGGATGGGATTACCACTCTCAACCTTCACTCCATTTGATATGTCTCTCTGGATGCAAAATATGATTTATTCCAATCCATTGTCAGATCCTGTTGAGCTCACCAGATTGGTTGCTACACCTGGGTTTCTGCTTCTGCGGTCTCTTCCAGTGTGTATAACTCTTCCACTTCTTTTTAGGCTCTCTCTGTGGAGGCAGCCATGATCAGATATGGTACACCCAGCTGTCCAGAAGCTCAAGTTTCTGGCACAGAAGTCATGCTGTCTTTCACACAGCATTGGGGTTTAATTTCTAAGGTTGACATGTATCTGGCTCAGTTTCTGCTTAGTCTGAAAGTCACTTTTCTCAAAGGTAATGACATACATGTCGGCAATGTTGTATTAAGAGGAGATTGAACCCTTTTCAATCAGTGATGTCAATCATAACTAGTTTTTTTGACTTGGCTCTTTGACATAGGTTTTTGCATCTTCCAGAATCGCCTTTGTTTATGGTGGCCTTACCGACTACAATTTTATTATTGCAACTACATACTTTTGAGTCCCCAGTACTCTCCAGATTCCTCACATTGTTTGGGTAATTGGTCCCAAATGACCACTCCAGTTATCTAACAGGTAGATCCAGGTTACATGTTCTATCTATGCACCTGTTTGTGACCTAATTCTTATATGCCATATGTCCCCTTTACCTGCAGGTTTATTTTTATGGCTGCTGATTTACAGACATCAACAGTCAGAGTGGTTTGCACTGTTTGTTCACGGGCCATTTTCTCATTCTCTCTACGTTCGCAGATCAGTTTGTCTTACCAACCATTCTATCAGTCCTTTTCTCTGATTCATCTTCTCACTCTTTCTCTCTCTATGTCCCATCAGATTTCGATCTTGGGCATGTTCAGTGAGGATTTTGAAAGTCTTGTTAGAGATACTACGAAACACTTTATTCTGGGTTCTCTTTGAAGGCGAGGTATCTTCTGTGAGTCACATCTACTCAGATTTCTCTTTTCTATGTCTTTAGCATTTCATTTGAATTGCCCACTGGAGGTCAATGTGCAAACTGGTATGTGGATCTCCCCCAATACCTTTATATTGCATTATTTGCCTGATTTGGCAGTCTCTTCATCTGAGGGATTTTACCTACCCCCTCTAGCTATGTTAACTATTTCTGCTACATTATCCAGAGGGGGTGAGTATTTTTATTTGTAACTTTCAAGGTTCCTTACTTTGTTTTCATAGGATCCCACTCTGTGGTAAATGTTACCCAGACAGGTGTGCTTTTCTCAAACAAATTTCGCATTAGCAACCACTAATTCACCATAATTACTACCATTTGCAACAGGCTCTGTAGAAATCAGGTGTTCCATAAGACCACATAGGAGCTCATCTGGTGGTATTACCATACTATGCTGGACCACCACTCATGGATTATTCTGAGTAAAGCTAAAGTGGATCCCGTCCCTCCCTGCCAATCATTGGGTTGAATAAATTGGAGTCAGTTTGCTTTTTAAAATTTTGGGAACTTGATTCACCTATTGCACTGTTTCCAGAGCACTGTTCCTCAGGGCTCTCCAATGTGCACATCCCCCAGATTCTACTAGTGGAGATAGATAGTCCTTACTACACCCAGTTTCCAGTCACTGGGGTGGTGGACTGAGGTTTTTCCTCCAGAGTGTTACAGTGAATTTTTCCACTCTTGAAGAAGAGGGCAAAGTTGGGGGCTCTCCAACCTGGGTCTCTGGATGTTTGTTTCCTAGGTGTTGGTATGAGTGGCACCAGCCTATGCGAGAGCCTACTCATAATACTGGTTCAGATTTGATGCTCAGCTATCCAGTTGGGGTGTGCATGTCCCTTCTTTTTGATCAATATCAGTTCAGTGTATTGTTCATGGAAGAAGTTCTGCTATCTCCTCCTAATTCTGAATGCAGAGTGTTCCCATCCTGGGTCATTGTTTGAGCACAGTTGTTCCATGTCCTCCCCATAATTCTGGGGGCAAGTGGAAGGCTCCTTGCCCACTTAGTCGGGGAGTGAGGACGAATGTTTATAATTCCAGACTGGATGAGTTCTGTTCCTTTGGTTGAGTACAGCATATATGATCCTGTTATTCCAAGCTTGGGGTGTTGCCTTTCGGGCTTCTTCAGGTGGAGGAGAAGGTTTCTTGTAGTGATTCCACATCACTCTGTGTCTACATGTTGGGATCCAATCAAAAGTATATCTATATATATAACATTGCAGTCCAATTACCCTAGCCACCGATGTGCGAAACAGTGACCAAAACCCTTTAATTCACACCGAGAGTAGTGGAACCTCAGTTGTCTGGTTGGGTCTGGGCTATAGTGATTATTACTAATGTAGTAGGTCATCAAGAAATTAATGTTACATTTTGGAACACTTTCCTTAACTCCCCCCCCCCCAGAAAAGTACATTATGTATAATAGTTAAATGAACCACCTAAATGTCACATTAGTGTAATATATATAAGTGTAAAGTTTTGTGTACTCTAATCCCTTATAGTGATGGCACACGCTGAGACACAGATTTGCCATGTAATGCTGTTTCAATACAAGAAGGGTAATAATGCCCCTGTAGCCGCAGAGAATATCAAAGAAGTTTATGGAAATGTTTTGAATGCTCGTAAGTGTCAATGATGGTTCAGAAAATTTCGTTCAGGTGACTTTAGCCTTGAAAACTGTGATGGAAGGGGCCGACATGTTGGAATTGATATTGATGCTTGTTGAGTCTAACCCAAGGTAACACACTCATGAAATAGCTCTGAAATTGCATGTCTCTCATGAAACAAT